TCTCTAGCCTCTGAACCCAAACTTGAAAGTGCGTTCAAGGCTAAAACAGAAGGTGGCTGAGCGGAGAAAGCAGTCCCCTCCTGCGTCGCAAGGATGGAACAGTTATTAGCACCTTCAAGAAGAGAGCAGTTGAGATCACAGGCACTGGGCCTGGGGGTAAGGCCTCCTCTCATGTCCCCATTCTGAGGGTCTGGAAATGGGGGTGGCTCAAGAGCAGGCCCAGGTGACAGCCACTTCTCCTGTAGTGTCGTCCGTGTGTAACAGTGCGCCTGGCTCCGGCCCCAGCTCTCCCAACAGCTCCCACAGCACCATCGCTGAGAACGGCTTTACTGGCTCAGTCCCAACATCCCCACGAGGTACAGGCCTAGCTGAGGCTGGCGGAGGTGGGGTGGTGGGACCCAGAGCTGCTTTCTTTCCCTTGGAGTGAAGCTCCTTCCAGTCTGGCTGAGAGTACCTAGGAGAGACCTCTCTGTTCGCCTGGAGGGTCTTGCCTAGATGTTTTGCCTCGAAGGGACATTTCCCACCAGCTCATGAAGAGCTCTGATCTCTAAGCCACCCTGTCGTGGCTCATGGTGGGAGAGTGGGGCCCATTCAGAGCCCTGGGCTCAGCCCCAGGTTGTCCTCCTTTGCCCACTCTCATGGCTGTCTCTCCCGACTGCTCCTCAGATGCTCCCCCAGCACCGGGCCCTCCCTCTGGACAGCTCCCCCAACCAGTTCAGCCTCTACACATCTCCCTCTTTGCCCAACATCTCCCTAGGACTGCAAGCCACAGTCACTGTCACCAACTCGCACCTCACCGTAAGTGCAGAGCACATAATGCTCCCCCTCTGGTGTTTAGGTCACTGGTCCTGCATGCTCCCAGCTGGGGCTTTGTGCCTAAGGCCAGAGGAGGGGGATGGGCAGAGGGTAGCTGAGGGATACTGGTTTAAAGTTGGCAGGATGGGGCGGTGGAAGCCTCTGCCTTATCTCCCATCTCTCTTCGCCCTTTGCCAGGCCTCCCCCAAGCTGTCAACACAGCAGGAGGCCGAGAGGCAGGCCCTTCAGTCTCTGCGTCAGGGCAGCACATTGACGGGCAAGTTCATGAGCACTTCCTCCATCCCTGGTTGCCTGCTGGGTGTGGCACTGGAGGGTGACACGAGCCCCCACGGGCATGCCTCGCTCCTGCAACATGTCTTGCTGTTGGAACAGGCCCGGCAGCAGAGCACCCTCATCGCTGGTGAGTAGGGGAGCGGCTGTGCTAGGGAGGGGGCATTAGGCCCTCAAAGGGGCTCAAGCCATGACCAACTGTCAGGGCAAAGCAGACAGGGATACTTTCCAGCCCTGTCAAAACCCTCAACAGTATCACTGACTTCTTCCATATTTCGAAGACATCACAGTTTCCGAAGAACAGTGCCTGGCACTGTTCTTCTTCATCAAGTTCATGTTCCAGAGCAGCTCTGTCCAGTAGACGCCTAACGCGAACTACAGGTGTAGTTTGAAGTTTTCTAATAGCCACATTTAAAAACTTAAAACGGAATAGGTGGGACCCAGTGGGAAGGCTCATGCCTGTAATCCTAGCTACTCAGAAGGCAGAGATGGAGAGGATCGAGGTTTGAGAGATCCCATCTCAATCAATAAAATCTGGTTTTGGTAGCACACACACCTATCATCCCAGCTACCCAGAAAGTATAAATGGGAGAATCTCAGTGCAGGCTGGCCCAGGCAAAATTGCAAAACCCTGTCCCAAAATACCTAAAGCTATAAGGACTGGAGGCATGGTTCAGGTGGTAGAGTGCCGGCCTAGCAAGTGTAAGGCACTGAGTTCAAACTCTAGTACTGTCCCTAACAAAAGAAACAGTGGAGTTAATTTTATAACATACTTAACTTACGGGCAGAATATTATTCCAACATGTAATACAGAATTATTAATGAGAAATTTTACTTTTTGTTTCATACCTAGTCTTTGAAATTTTGTGTGTATTTCACATTGATGGTACATGACAATTTAGATGGCCATGTCTCAAGGGCTGCTCAGTAGCCACAGATGGCCAATAGCTATGGCATTGGATAACAGAGCACTCATCAGCCCTTAACCTCTTAGCATTGGTAGAGGTTCTGCTGAAAGAAAGGGACCCTGGTCCAGGGCTACCCAGCCTGCTGAGATCCCTGGGCTCCATGGTCAGGGAGGTCTTGTTGCAGTTGGAAGAGCTAGTCGCTGTTCTTCCATGTGGCTGGCCCAGGTTTCTAATGTGCACTCAGTTGACCAAACCAAAGGGAGAAATGGTGACTTCCTAGAGACTTTTTGGCATCAGTGCCTCTGAGTTGAGGCTGTTCATTTGTGGAAAGGAGGCAGAATAGGGCTCAGGCTTAGGATGGGGCTCTTGAAACCCCTCCATGGCTTTTTCTAGTATGTAGGTGTAGTGTTCTAGGAGAGGGAAATGTTAGGGGGATGAAGGTGAACCTGGTGCCCCCCCTGACAGTGGTGCTTACTTCCCTCCCTTGCTTCCACAGTGCCTCTGCATGGGCAATCCCCGTTGGTGACTGGTGAACGGGTGGCCACCAGCATGCGGACAGTGGGAAAGCTTCCGAGGCACCGGCCTTTGAGCCGCACTCAGTCCTCGCCACTGCCGCAGAGTCCCCAGGCTCTGCAGCAGCTGGTCATGCAGCAGCAGCACCAGCAGTTCCTGGAGAAGCAGAAGCAGCAGCAGTTGCAGCTGGGCAAGGTGCACCCGGAGAGACAGATGTTCTGGGGTTGTGTCCAGGCGAGACCCAGGCTGGCAGGAAGGGATGGGCCCTGAGTCTGGGTCACACCAGGGGTGCATGTCTGCCCAGGGAAGCCACTTTCATGTTTTCTAATTCGCATAAAGCTCTGTGGGTTCGCAGTTGCCTGGAAGAAGGGAGAGAAGGATAGCTAAGAGCTGCATAGCTGTGCCCCGCTGCCTGCTGATGTTTCCCTGCTATGTTCTGCCTCCAGATCCTCACCAAGACTGGGGAGCTGTCTAGGCAGCCCACTACCCACCCTGAGGAGACAGAGGAAGAGCTGACTGAGCAGCAGGAGGCCTTACTGGGAGAGGGAGCCCTGACCATGCCCCGGGAAGGCTCCACAGAGAGTGAGAGCACCCAAGAAGACCTGGAGGAAGAGGAAGAGGAGGAGGTAGAAGAGGAAGAAGACTGCATCCAGGTCAAGGATGAGGAAGGCGAGAGTGGACCTGAAGAGGGGCCAGACTTGGAGGAGTCCAGTACCGGTTACAAAAAGGTGCACCCCCCACTCTGCCCCTGGTCCCAGTTCTTGGCCCCTACCCTGCTGGTCTTTCCCATCTCTTTTGCACCCCTGCCTGTCCCTCTTCCCAGCAGGCCAGTTGCCAGCTTTCTGAAGAGCAGGAGGGGAGGAGGGATGCCAGCAGGGAGTAGAAGGGAGAATTGCTGTGTTGGTACCTGAGCTGTGCTTCTACCAATCTGCTAGCTCCCCTCCCACCTCTCTGCTTCTGAGTGTGTCATGTGCATGCAAGCACGTGGCCCGTGTGTATATGTGTTTGTGCCTGCTGGCCGTGCGTCGGTCTCTGCGTGCTTGTGTGCGTGTGTACACACCCCCGCTGTTACTACAGTCTGCCTTGAGCCTACCGCTCGCTCCATTCATTGCGGACACAGCTGAGCCCTAGCGGCCTGACTCATCCCGCCTCCGCCCCTCAGCCTCTTACCTCAATGTGACTCTTTGGTGTGACTCATCACGTCCCCTCAGCCCTCCCAGTCTTGCAGGAGATGGCAAAGGCTGAAATGTCTTCTGTCCTTGGAGGGAGCCAGTAGGAGGAGGTGGGGGGTGGAGGAGACTTGGAAGAAAGGGCTGGATTGGGGGGCCCCTGGAGGCCCCAAGGGCACCTGTCCTCACTCCCATCCAGGCCGAGCCTCACCCAGACCTCTTCTCACTTCTTACCAGCTATTCACAGATGCCCAGCAGCTGCAGCCCCTGCAAGTGTACCAGGCACCCCTCAGTCTGGCCACTGTGCCTCACCAGGCCCTGGGCCGCACCCAGTCCTCACCTGCTGCTCCTGGGGGCATGAAGAGCCCCCCAGACCAGCCCACCAAGCACCTCTTCACCACAGGTAAGCCCCATCGTCACCTGTTACATGCTTTTACCATGCACCAGAGTCCTGTATGTGGCATCCAGGGCCGCTCAGACACCCTGGAGGGAGGGAAAGTGGGTCTTCATCTCTCTCTGCCCATGGTTTATTCATGGTAGTTACAATAGTTTTCTGCTCCTATGCACTGGGGGCAGCACTGTTTTCTGTGCCCCCTTACTGCAGGGTACTTGATTTTACACCATCGCCCCGCAAGATCCAGAGCCCTGGGTGGAGAGAATCACCTGTTTCTTTTGGGCCCTGCCCCTCTAGCTTCCTCTCCTGCTCCCTGTAAGGTTGACGGTGAGGCCTCAGTAGGTTCCAGAAGGCTCTTCTCCATGAAGTGGCCACATGCTAGACTCTGAGGGGGTACAGATTTAGCTGAGGATGATCCCGTCTCACCAATGGGGAGCAGCACGCAGGCTGGGAGGGATGAGGGAAGGGGGATATCGGAGGCAGTGTAGAAAACACAGTGGGCAAAGATCAAAACCAGTTAGGGGTGTGAAGAGAAGTCTTGCTGGACTTGAGAAGTTGGAGGCTTCTGACAGGAATATAAGGAAAGGAATTTCAAGAAAAGAGGAGAGAGGGCAGGTGATGTGTGTGTGTCGGGGGGCGGGGGGCGCGGTTGGGGGGTGGTCGGGCTGTGATGCTGGCTAACATTAGGGTCTGTGGCCCAGGCGTGGTCTACGACACATTCATGCTGAAGCACCAGTGCATGTGTGGGAACACGCATGTGCACCCTGAGCATGCTGGCCGCATCCAAAGCATTTGGTCCCGGCTGCAGGAGACTGGCCTGCTCAGCAAGTGTGAGGTGAGGGAGCCCCCTTTCTCCAGCCCCAGCTTCTGACTAGGCAGAACCTTGTCTCTCTTTCTCCGCTCCCCCTCTCCACAGTGAAACCTTTCTCACACCTGAGTCGTGTGGCCAGCCCTTCCCCCCAGGTCTGTCCCTTGAGACCTGTTTCCCTCCTGGTCCTGTGGAAAGGCCTAGAGTAGGGTCTCTGTGGGTCAGGGCATAGGTTCTCAAAATCCTTCAGATCTCTCAAGGATGGTTCTGTAGGCCCCAGGCTGTGGGCATCAGGAGCACTGAGCCTTCAGTGTCGCCCCTCTCACTGGCCTCTCCTGCCCTCCCCTGGCAGCGGATTCGGGGTCGCAAAGCCACACTGGACGAGATCCAGACAGTGCACTCTGAATACCACACCCTGCTCTATGGGACCAGCCCTCTCAACAGGCAGAAGCTAGACAGCAAGAAGCTGCTCGGTGAGCTGGCAGGACATGGGCCAGGACAGGTCTGAATGTCTAGGTGTGATAAGGTTATCAGGAAGATCACCTGGCTGGGGTTGGCACTGGTCCTGATAGACACATATACCACGTCCCATCCCTCCAGAGGGTGTCATTAACCTGGATGCAGCCTGAGCATGCTGGAGGGTGCTGTGCAGGAGGGCGGAAGTGATGGTGATGGGTGCTTTACTGCTCTTTCCAGTCTGTTATGATTTCCATCTGCTCCCAGAGGTAGGCTGTACCCCCAGAATGGGACACAGAGCTCCCACCTGGCCTGGGCTGCAGAGGCCTAGCCTGGGCCTAGATCAGAGCTTAGATCTGGGCTGAGCTCACTGCCCTTTGCAGAGCCTAGCTTGTAGCCTGGCAGTTGAGGCACCTTCTAGAGTAACTTTAGTCTTCTTCCTTCCAGGCCCTATCAGCCAGAAGATGTATGCCATGCTGCCTTGTGGGGGTATTGGGGTGAGTGGGGTGTGCTTCAGTGGGAGTGGATTGGTGGCTCTCCCAGCCCTGACTTCTCCCTTCCTGCTGGCTGGCTTCACTGCTGGCTTGCTGTTTGGTGCCCAACCCCAGTCTTGCCCTCCTACTGCCGTGGGTATGCTGAAGCTTGCTCTCCTGCCCCAACAGGTGGACAGTGACACTGTGTGGAACGAGATGCACTCCTCCAGTGCTGTGCGCATGGCGGTGGGCTGCCTGGTAGAGCTGGCCTTCAAGGTGGCCTCAGGAGAGCTCAAGGTGAGGGTCTCAGTGCTCCTTGGCTTGGTCCTGTGTCCTCAGGAGTAGAGATGGGAACAGCTGTGGCTTCCCAGTCAGTGAGGCACTGTCCTTTGTAATCTTAACTCTCAGGTGCCAAAGTGGGGAGAAGGTGACAACTCTGGGAAACAGCTATGGGTTGAGGGGCATGAGAGGCTGAATGGACGACCAATGTTTGGTGCGCTTGTGGATGTCTACAGGGCAGAGACAGTGTCTGCTTGCCCAAAAGGCCTGTGGTTGGCATATGCATAGTGGCTTCTTAAATATGTATTTGTGTTTCTGATTTGCGTTCCCTTCTCTGCTTGGCTGTACTTCTCTTCTTCTGTATCCACTCTGTCTCTGGCCACCTCACTTCCCTGTCTTTTGCTCTGTCCCTCTGCCCTCACCTCTTCAGAATGGATTTGCCATCATCCGGCCCCCAGGACACCATGCTGAGGAGTCCACAGCCATGTGAGTGCCGTCCTGTCACCCCCTTGGCCCTTCCTATCCTTTGCTCAGGAAGTGAGTCCTAACCCAACTCTGAAGCTGACCTCCCTGCCTTCTTCTCCCCCCAACCCCCCAGGGGATTCTGCTTCTTCAACTCTGTAGCCATCACAGCTAAACTCCTGCAGCAGAAGTTGAACGTGGGCAAGGTTCTCATCGTGGACTGGGTAGGCAGTGGGATGGGGCACTGGGCAAGGGTGGGCAGAGCTGCGATGCGGGCAGCACAGGGCTCACTCCTCGGTCTCACATGCTGATGAACGACTAACCTCAGTCCTTCCTGTTGGACCATTAGTTTGGTCCTTAACGTTCCAGTAGGGCTCCTTCTTCTCCCTGAGAGACCCTAGAGCACTTTTAGCCCCTACCCACCTTGTCCTCTCCCTGGCAGCCTCAAGCAACCAAGGGATTTTCTCCCATGCACAGAAGGGACAGGGATGCCACCACGCTGCCAGAAGCTACTTTCCTTCCCCACCCCTTACTACTGGGGGGTCCTATGTGCCAGAAACCTACCTAGTACTCAATACATGGTGCCACCTCAAATAGAAAGAACTAGATGTCCATTTGTATAAATGAAGGTACTGTTGGAGACTTACTCAAGGTCTCTTAGCTGGAGATGCCACACTTCTGCTGTCATGAGTGCTTCTTAGACCCTGCCCTAATGGTGGAGTGAAAGGTACACACCACTCACTGTGCTGAGGAAGTCCCCGGGAGCAATCCTTAGTAAGGGTGGAAACTTTGAAGCCCAGTTTTGACTTAAAAATTCATATAACCAGGGGTGGTGGCACACATCTGTAATCCCAGCACTTGGGAGGCTGAGGCAGGAGGATAGTGAGTTTGGGGCCAGCCTGGGCTACATAGCAAGACTCTGTCTCAAAAAAACAAACCGGGGCTGGAGGATTGGCTCAAGTGGTAGAGTGCCTGGCTAGCAAGTACAAAGCCCCAAGTTCAAACCCCAGTATCACAAAAAAAATTTAATAAAACAGCCAACCAACAAATTCATGTAAATGTTGGGTCCTTATTTAGAATTTACTGTTTTTTAAGACCATAATGTTTTCCCCCAAACTTCAATGGAATGGGTTCTTCAGGAAGATAAACCACTTAACCCATGACTTTCTATAGCCTGTGCAGACCCTAGTTAGAGAAGTAGGGGGCAGGCAATCTCTTGTGAATGGAGCATAGATACCCCAGAGCCAGTGGTGGGCTCATGCCTAAAGCTCCCCATAGGGTGGGTTGGGGACAGGTGGCATTTTGACCTTTGGGTCAGAGCTTGGGCCATTTTCCCCAAGTTTCCCCTTCTCCCTGCCAGGACATTCACCACGGCAATGGCACCCAGCAAGCATTCTACAATGATCCCTCTGTGCTCTACATCTCTCTACATCGCTATGACAACGGGAACTTCTTTCCAGGCTCTGGGGCTCCTGAAGAGGTACAGCTCGTGGGCCTGCACTCAGGCCCTTCCGGGAGGTAGCTGACTGGGGCCCTGCAGGAATCCACGAAAGCCCATGTGGTGCTGGTCCCTGGGGCGTCTGAGGGCTCCTAGTGGGAGGACCTCACGGGTCTGACTGCCCCTCAGGCAGAACAGAGGTCAGTGGAGTGGGGCCTTGGAGGCGAGGGTGAGGGTAGGGCAATGTCTGGGATTGCCAGGCAGTGAGAATAACCCCCTCCGGTATCTTGGCCAGGTTGGTGGAGGGCCAGGCATGGGGTACAATGTGAACGTGGCATGGACAGGAGGTGTGGATCCCCCCATTGGAGATGTGGAGTACCTGACAGCCTTCAGGTGAGAACTGAGAAAGGGCCAAGGGTGGGTGGGAGTCCTGTGGCTCTGAGGTGGAAGAAGCAGCAGGCACTCAGTTCTGGGTGTGGGGGTTGCGGTCTCTGAGAGGAGAGTCTAATGGAGTGAGGCTGGGTTTGTCACCTGCTGGTGTCAGCTTGGGCCATCTCTTTGCAGGACAGTGGTGATGCCCATTGCCCACAAGTTCTCACCTGAAGTGGTCCTAGTCTCCGCTGGCTTTGATGCTGTTGAAGGACATCTGTCGCCACTGGGTGGCTATTCTGTCACCGCCAGATGTGAGTCTGCTGGGCATTTGAGGGAGGGAGTGGAACAGTGAGGTTGGAGTCAAGTGGGGATGGGGGACAGGGAGTAGACTGACACTGCAGGAGAAGGGGAGAGCAGGGGCAGGTCTAAGATTTGGAATCATCCTGCCAGCCCTTCGCATTTCTTCTGCCAGTAGGCAGAGGTGGTGTACTACAGGATGGAACTTCTGCTGGAGCTGTGGGGGTGGGGCTTGCTGATCCCTGATGTTCCAGAGATGCTCCTCGTATGACATGTGATTGGATTTCTTAGCCTGTCTCACGTTTTGTCCATGATGAAGCACTTAGCTCCACTGATGTATTTTATTATGGATACATTTGGGTTTAAATCTGCTGACTTTTTAATATTTTTTTCAGTACTGGAGTTTGAACTCAGCTTTGCACTTGCTAGGCAGATGCTCTACTTCTTGAACCATGCCCCCAGCTTTTTGCTTTAGTTATTTTTCAAACAGGATCTCACATTTATGCCCCATCGGGCCTGGACCACCATCCTCTTACTTGGAATGATAGGTGCACATTAGCATGCTCAGCTTTTTTATTGGTTGAGATGGGGTCTCCAGGACTTTTTACCCAGGCTGGCCTTGAACAGTGATCTTTTGGATCTCTGCCTCCCCAGCAGCTAGCATTAGGAGTATAAGCCACTTTGCCTGGCTAAATCTGCCATTTTATATTGTGCTATTTGGCACACTTCTTTTTCTTTTTTCTTTTTTGTAGGAACAGGGTTGGAACTCAGGGCTTTGCACTTGTACAGCAGGTGTTCTACCTCTTGAGCCACACCTCCAGTCCATTTTGCTCTGGTTATTTTGGAGATGGGGTGTCTGGAACTATTTGCGCAGGCTGACCTTGAAGGGCAATCCTCCTGATCTCAGCCTCCCAAGTAATTAGCATTACAGGCATGAGCCACTGGCAGCTGGCCTTCTTACTGCCTCTTGAGTTGATAGTATTTACCATATTATCCTTCTCTCTTCACCCATGTGCAAAGGTTTTGGCCACTTGACCAGGCAGCTGATGACGCTGGCAGGGGGCCGGGTGGTGCTGGCCTTGGAGGGAGGCCATGACTTGACCGCCATCTGTGATGCCTCAGAGGCCTGTGTCTCGGCTCTGCTCAGCGTGGAGGTGAGGGTAGCAGGCAGAGAGGTCGGGGAGCGGGGAGTGGGGATAAAGGGTCAGCAATGGGTATCTACTTCTCTGAGCCCAGTAGCACCAATGGCCAATTGGGAAGGTTTGCCTGGGTCCTGAGAATAATTGGCCAGGGAGGGCTTTCTGAGTAGGGTTCCTCCCCAAAGGCTGTGTATGGCCATCATGTGAGATGTCTGGCTCCATGGGTGCAGTTAGAAAGACTGGCATCTTCACCTCCCCATGCTCTACCCTAAGCCTGCTCTTCTTTCCCCTGCCAGCTGCAGCCCTTGGACGAGGCAGTCTTGCAGCAAAAGCCCAACATCAACGCAGTGGCCACATTAGAGAAAGTCATCGAGATCCAGAGTGCGTGGAACCAGGCAGAGGAGCTCAGTCCTCAGTCTGCCCAGGGGCAAAGCTTAGACTTTGGGGGAGCCAGGACTGGGGGGGTACAGACGGGGCTGTCTGCCCTTCTGACCCCTGCTGGTCCCTTTTCCACAGGCAAGCATTGGAGCTGTGTGCAGAGGTTTGCTGCTGGTCTGGGTCGCTCCCTGCGGGAAGCCCAGGCAGGTGAGACTGAGGAGGCTGAGACTGTGAGCGCCATGGCCTTGCTGTCAGTGGGGGCTGAGCAGGCCCAGGCTGCTGCAGCCCGAGAGAACAGCCCCAGGTAAATTCCCTGTCTCCTGCTTTCTGCCTCTGGCCTGATGTGTTGTCCCCTGCTCAGTGCTGTCCCTATGCTTGTCCCACAGGCCGGCAGAGGAGCCTATGGAGCAGGAGCCTGCCCTGTGACACCCTGGCCCCATCCCTCTGGGCTTCATCATTGTGATTTTGTTTATTTTTTCTATTAAAAACAAAAAGTCACACATTCAACAACGTGTGCCGTGTGGGTCTCTCAGCCTTGTCCCTTTTGCTCCTCTAAGCTGTCTCAGGCTCCCCTGCTATATGGCCCACATCTCAGCTGTAGAAGTTTGCTCTCTCTTTAGGAAGTAGGGGTGCACTGTCCAGCCCCTCTCCCATGTTATATATTACATGCACTGCATTCTGTCCTTTTCCATCATGGAGCCTGGGCCAGCTCAAGGTGAGCACTGAGGCCCATATAGTACCCTCCAGTTCTGGGCCCCTCTGAATGAGATGGGAACAGTAAGCCAGTGCCTTGGCTTCAGCTGACTTAGGGGAAATGCCTTAATTTCAGCCTTCCCCTCTCCAGTCCCAGGGGAGGATCCACTGTCTAAGATGCAGACTAGTGGGAAGGTGGGCTCCCACGCTGGGCTTCTGCACCTCTTCCCCTCTGTTGTCCCCACCATCTCTGCAGAACCTTTTCTTTGGCCTCAGCACCCACCACAGGATGTGGGCCTTAGGTCTTTGGCCGGAGCTGTCCAGCTTCACATTCCTAGAAGGAGCCCCAGAAGCAGGGCTGCTCTCCATCTCACTCTGTTGATGTTCCTGCCCTCTGCTAGCACAGCCAGAGGAGGGGGAGAAGGTGGTCCTTACAGGAGGTTTCCAGGCTGGTCTTGCTGTTCAGGACCGTATTTCTCCCAGTCACCCAGCATGCTGCAAGCAGAAGGGTCAGGGCTCACTCCCCTGAGCCTGTTGCTTTGAAGCCTTGGGATGGTGAGAGATGATTCTAGAATGCACAGGGCCAGAACCCAGAAACCCAGGAGCTGACCCTCTGCAGGCGTGTCCCTTCCTCTGAGTTCCCTCTGCTGGCTACTAGCAAAGGGAGCCAAGACTAGGAGGGGCTGGGTGCTGCCTCCCCCCTTTGCCAGAGCCCTCTGTGTCCAGGGACTGGGGCCCACAGGCTTGCAGGGACTGCTGTCTAGCCTGTAGGAAACCAAAGATGGGAAGTGGCTCCTAGGGGGCCAGCCCTTCCTCCCTCCTCCTCCCCAATACCACATACACTTTCTCCCACCCCCGGGCCCACCAGTCTGTTTACATATATATTTATTATCCTGATGGGGGGCCTGAGCAGGGTTGAGGAAGCCTGGGGAGGGGCAGGAGTCCCACCACAAGTTCGCTGTGTGCTTGCATGTTGTGTTCTGGATCCTCTGGGGGACAGGGCTGGGGCTAGGCCCGGTGTACCAGGCCTCTTCGCACTGAGCTGTAGGCTCCAGGCCCCTGATCCCCACACCCCTGACACTCCCTGTGGCTGGTCTGGTTCTCATGTAAACCCTCTCCTCACTTTGTCTCCCTGGATATGAATTTCAGTTAAGTATTTTGTAACCCGTTACACTGTGTGTCCTTGTATAAATAAACTTGTTTCTGGCAGTGCCTTCTGGGGCTAATGTCTCTGTTCTCTGGGTTCCCAAATGGAGTAGAAGTTCTCATCTCCCTTCTTAGCCAAAAAAACTGCCTTTTCTTCATCCTGAGACTGGAAGCCAATTTGGGAAACCAGAAGCCATGTGGGAGATCTCTGGCCTGTAGGTGGAAGATAAGATTCTGCTGAATGTAGCTGTAGCATCTCATGGTACCTCTTCAGAGGCCTCAAGAAGTGTTGGGGGACTGCAGGGGACAAGGACTGAGAGGTTTCAGCTGATTTTACAGTGCTCCCCGTCCCCAGAAACAGTACTGGAGGGAGCTCCACTTGTGCACATGTAGGCAAGATCAGTGGAGATGTGTGCATAGGAAAGAAACGAATACATTAGATTCAAGGGCTTTATTGGGGCCCTCTTGAGCCATCCTTCACAGTGTTGCAGGAACCTACAGGTCTTGTTGCTTTTACTCTTTGGGGACTTGGTAGCCTCCTTGGTAGACAGAAGGCTCTTCTTCAGGGCTAAGACCAGGTGATAGGAGAAAAATGAAATTCAGAGAGCAGGGCCTGCTTGGGGGGCTGGGAGGGGATGGGGCTGCCTGCCAGAGTGTGAAGGTCAAGGAGTGTTGGCCTCTGGAGAGGGAAGTGGCAGAAGGCGTGAGAAGTCAGGAAGAGCGGATAGGTGGTGTTTCCTGGGCACTGAATGTGTGCACCACCCAGGGCACAAGGGCCAGAACTAGGCATGGCCAGAGAGTATACTTGAGGAAGTTAAAGATGTAGAAAAGGCTGATCTGAGGGGGGTTGCCCAGCCAGTCCAGGGGGCCCAGCAGACCCATGGCCAGCACAAGGCAGGCTATCTTTTGGCCATTTCCTAGGTGTGCCCTCCGAATCTGGGCATAGCAGGGAGAGTGCAGGGCGATGCCCAGACCCAGGGCAGCTCCTGAGTCACGACTCAGAGAGGCAAAGGGCCGGCTATCCAGGTGTACCCACTCAGGCCGCTCACACCACTTGGAGGCTAGGTTGATGGACCTATAGGGATAGAGAGTCCTTGCCAGGAGAGACAAATGCAGAAGACCATGAGCTTTTCTGCATCTGCCCTTGTGCTGTGACCCCAGGAGGGTTATAGATCCTTTTTAACCACAGTGAACCAGAGATTCACTAACTAGGTCCAAATTTGGTAGGATAGGTCTCAGCCTGCCCAGGCTTCAAAGTGGGACTTACCAAGAAAGATCCAGGCCCAGCGTAAACAGGGTCCAATAGATGAGGCTGGCACCCAGCATAAGGGCCAGGGCAGTCAACCCATAGAAGCTTAGTTCTCTCTCCATGGGCACCCGGGGGGCCATCAGCCAGCCCAGGACAGCACCTAGGAGAGTTGGGAGCTACAGCAGATTCAAAAAGTCTGAGGAAATGACCTCCCTACCCCGAGCTGCAGTGCAGTGTGAATAGACATAAGACAAAGGGGGGCCTAGGGTTGGTTCTGCAGAAACTGGGATGGGGCGATCCCACTGCCAAAGGTACCCTCTTGGTCCACCCTGTTGCCCCAGCTGCTCACCAGTTATTAGGCCAGCCAACACCTGGTGAGGGAAATGTGCTAAGAGGAAGATCCGGGACATGCCGACCGCCAGTAGGAAAGTGCAATAAGCCAGGCTAGGCATCACCCTTACCCAGCGGCTAGAAAGAAGAGAGGCAAATGGCTCAAGGGGTGTCCAGCACCCCTTGGCACCCAAGCACTTTATAGTTTCACCAGAGTCCCTAGAACTCAGCTCCCAGGCTGCCATGCTGAGGGGTCTTTGGGTCCAGGGTGCCATCACCCCTGCTCCTATTGGTGGGCAATGCAAGGGCATACCTTCGGGCGTGAGTGGCCACCTGGGAAGAGAGAGCTGTCATTATGGGCCAGAGAGCTGCTCCTGTGATCATGCAGTGTCCAGAAGGGCTGCCTGCCGGAAAATCCAGAAGCTCATGGTGAGGATGGAGGCAGATTCCAGATGCCCCTGGTAAACCCTCCACATGGCTGCCTCCCCCAGCTGAGAAGAGAACTTCCCCAGCCCTTGCCCATTATACTTTCTGGTCTGAGGCCTTTTCCATCCCTATCCAAGGCCACCGCTTTCAGGCTTCTGCCTTGCCCTGTGTCTGGCTCTATCCTATTACTAAGTGGATAGCTGGCACCTAGTATGGGTGTCCTCCCAGAATTCGACCTGGAATTCCTGGGGTTTCTTTGTTTTCTGGCCAGACTGAGGGTCTGGGCCTCTGTTGGGCCACCCAGGCTGAAGTGTGCTCCAAAACGCTCACCAGAACCTTAACCACACTGGGAAAGGGAGGAGGCTGGAGGTTTCCCACCTGGACCAGTTTCACAGGAAGAGGGGAACTGGTGAACCTGGGCTGGAGCCTGGCTGTAGTACCCAGACTCGTGGACCCACCAAAAGGGCCTGTCTCCAAACAGAAACCTGGAAGAGAAAAGATACAAGGTGACATGACAAGCACACACTGCACTCTGCCAGGAGGATGGATGAGGCAGAAGGACAGTAGAAGGACACCTGGGAGGACTCTGTAGGGCCTGAAAAGTGAAATCAGGGACTCAGATTCTGACCATTACTTTGCTGTGGTTTTCTACCCAGGAAGAGGAAAAAGTGCAGTTTTAAAACTGATAAGGAAGCCAGGCACCAGTCGCTCACATCTGTAATCCTAGCTACTTAGGAGGCAGAGATCTGGAAGATCACAGTTCAAAGTCAACTCAGGAAAATAGTTCCTGAGACCCTACCTAAAAAATGCTCAGCACAAAAAAGGACTGGCAGAGAGGCTCAAGTGGTAGAGTGCCTGCCTAGCAAGCATGAGGCCCTGAGTTCAAATCCAGTACCACACAAAAAAAAAGGGATACAGAGGTAAGAGATTGTGTGTGTGCATGTGCATGTGCACACTCTGGGATATTTTGATGCCCCATTCTTACCCCTCCCCCTGCAGGACCAGCTCTTCTCAAAGAGCGCTGGACCTGGCCTTCTACCTCTCCCTGTCCACCCTGCTACTCCCCATCAACATGTTCCCAATTCCAACAAGAATTATCCCCACCTGACTTAGGTGAGTTTCATGTTTGAAAATGGGGGTAGGAAATAGACAGAGGAGCCTGAAAAATAAGGAAGACAAAAAAAATTTAAGCTCCCTTAGCCTAGCAGGTGCTTGGTTGGGTTCTGGAAAACCACACATGGAAGAGGCTGACACAAATAGTGTTGGAGGAGATTCAGAAGGAGGGACTTGCCTTTCTTCACCAAAACCAGCCTCATGCCCATCATGTACTGTGAACATTCTTAGAAAATGAATAGGAGGCCAGGCATGGTGGTGCATACCTATAATCCCACTCAGAAGACTGAGGCAGGAGGATCACAAATTTGAGGCCAGCTTAAGCTACATAGTGAGACCCTATCTCAACCAAACCAAAACAAAACAGAGAAGAAAAAGAAAATGAATAGGGGCTTTGTCATTGGATTAGGAGTGTTCACTGACTGGAATCTGGCCCTTGGGGGAATAAACTACAGAGATGTTTACATAGATTCTGAGGGAGGAGAGCACAGAGCAAACGGCAATTAGGCAAGAAGGAAATGATTAGACAACTCCTTTTCCATTTACAGCAGGGATGAAACCTTACAGAGAAGACCAGAAGGAAAGGGAATTTTGTTTTTCGAAAGTCATTCCAGCTCATTCAGAGTCTCCTATGAACTTTCCTTCCTTTCCCAAGGTCGGGAACTGGGCAACAGAGCCAAATGAAGGGAGGTGAAGCTACATACTTAGCTCTTTTCTAGTCTCCAAAGAGAGAGAAAGAGAACAGGTGGCACAAAGTGATAAGCTCCAAGGGTTGCAAGGCCTCCAACCACTTGTCTGGGATTCCTAGCTTCTAATTCTCAGTGTGAAGAGCCCACTAGTGAATGAAGAGGAAAGAAGTGAAAGTGTTCCCAGAAGGCAGTGCTTTTCTAACTTCACGGTGCACAGGAACCACACAGGGACCTTATTAAAATACAGATTCTGATCCAAGAGGTCTAGCCTGGGGCTGAGATGCTCCATTTCTAGCAAGCTTTCAAGTGCAGCCTATGTTGTTGGAGCATGGACCAGGGAGGGACCACACCTGAACTTGCATGGCAGTTAGTGTGATGCCTGGCGCAAAGCATGCTGCCTTTTTTTTTTTGGTGGGGGGAGGGGTTTGAACTCAGAGCCTTGCACTTGCTAAGAAGGCCCTCTACCACTTGAGCCATTCCACCAACCCCACAAAGCATGCTTCTTAACAATTATGCCAAGTGAATGAATACATGAGGTAAGTTGAGAAGTAGGACTTTGTTACTTACATCACTACATCACTACAGATGCTTGTTTTTAATTTTTTTTTTTTTTTTGGAGGGGGTAGTACTGGAGTTTGAACTCAGGGCCGCGCTTGCTAGGCAGGAACTGTACCACTTGAGTCATGCCCCCAGAGTTTCTAAATCAGTAGGTTTGAGGTGGAGATGGGGTATTTGCAGTTTAAACACGCCCCTTAGGTGATTTCTCTGATCAGGCCAGTTTGGAGAAAACTGGTCTAATGAATAGTATGGATGCAGTCTGAGCCCAAGGTGAAAAGATGCTCAAAGGAGAAAATGAGTGGATATAGGGTAGGGGTGGGACACCTGCTAAGAAAGACCAGGGCCTTTGGGGGATGGGGGACCAGGATGCCCAAGGGTTTCCCTTCGCTGTCTCACCACTTGAAGACGAGGTTGAGCCACTCAGTGATGAAGCTGATCCAGAGAACCGCGATGCCCACACGGCGTGAGGCATAGTAGGCCGCCGGGAAGTAGAACAGAAAGAGGTTCTTGGGGTCGCCCAGAAAGGTGACCCAAAGCCACACGTTCTCCAGCCAAGGCAGGCGGTTCTGCAGCGCTTCGGCCATCGCGATGCCCGCGCCCAGCGTGGACTCCATGGCGATCAGGGGCCGTAAGGGCCAGGGTCTTCTCTAGGGAGGAAGCCGAGGAGTCCTGGCGACAACAAAGATGCTATCCGTAGCCCTCCAAAGCCCACCTTTCCGAGCCCAAAGCCCCGCCCACCCCACCAGGGGTTGACTCCAAGTCCCGCCCACCGCCCCGCCCCCGGCAGTCCCAGGCACGCGCGAGTCCCGCCTGTTGCAGGTACTGTTTCCTCCGGCGCCCTCCCCGTGTCTTCCTTTCTACTGGGCAGCGCAGGGGACAAACCTTTGCGAAGGCGTTTCCTAAGGACCCCACGTGGCTGCTGTTGCCGGCACGTGGACAGCCAGCGTAGTGGAGAAACCCACTGCTGTTCCGGGTCAGGGGACGGGTTAACCCTCGAGCGAACGGATTCAGCTGCTGCAAAGGAGGATGTGTAATCTCCAGGGCCAAGATTCCTTCCAGATCGGACCTCTCTTCTCTACTACCATCCCCCTCCCCCCGCCCCAATCGGAGTCGTGCTGGAGAGAAGGCTTACGAACACCGCCCTCCTTCAGGGAACTGAAGTGGGACCCTAAATTTGCACATATTCCTAACCCGTCCATGCCTTCTTGCTTGGCTCAAGACCCTCCCACCCTAATTCAACCGCTGTTGATTTGGACGCTGACAGATAAAACCTCTCGATTTTGAGACGTCTTCCTTGAAGAAGCGAATTCTTACGTGTGGCTGTCTTATAGCTTTGCTCCCCACCCCTTCCATCCTCTTGCTATCCAAAACGCGGCTGGAGAGATAAAGCAAAAGATGGTTATGGTGTTGGTATGGGAAGAGGAAGGCACACACCCACGACAAAATTTTTGAATAATTTGGATGGACACACACAGAAAATAGAAATGTGACCTGTTCTAAACCATGCCCACATAGAGACAGAGGTCAGGTGGGAGGAGGAGACCGTTCAAGTGATTCCTGGAGCAATTTTATTCTTGAAGAGTTTTTTGATGAGTGGATGGAAATGAAGATGTAAATTTGGGTTCTTGGAAAGCGATTTCACTAATTAAGGTGTTGGGGGAGGGAAGCTGGATGTAAATCTCAGTTCACTTTTTTTTGTGTGTGGGAGGCAGTACTGGGGTTTGAACTCAGGGTCTACTCACTTACCAGGCAGGCGCTCTACCACTTGAGCCACTCCACCAGCCCTTTTCTGACTGAGTGTTTTTCCAAGATACAGTCTCATGAACTATTTGCCCTGGCTGGCTTCAACTTGAATCCACCTGATCTCTGCTTCCTAAGTAACTAGGATTACAGACGACCCACCAGCACCCAGCTCTGTTCACTCTCTTGCTAAATGTTTTTCAATTGCTTTGAGGAGAAATCCTAAATTTCTCACCGAAGTCTTTCTACCCAGTCTTTCTACTTGCAGTCCTCCTGCTTCAGCCTCCCAGGTAATGGGATTACAGTCTTGTGCCATAGCCTTTATCCTTGAAATTCTGCCCAGATTCCAGTCTCAACCTTCACCATCCTTTCTCCACACCCTGGGGATCAAACTCAGGCCCCAGCACATGCTAGGCAAGCTCTCTACCACTGAGCTGTAAGGTACTGCTGAATAAAGACCATGCCACGTGTGGAAAAGAAAGATTTATTGGAACCAGACCGCAGAACTGTCACTCGGGTTCAGAGTGAATCGGCTTGGCTGAAATGAGTAGTGGGCTTTATAGGACAGGCCAAGCCATGGGGGAGGGAGAGAGTCTCTGGTCTCCGATTATCTATGATCACCAGATGGAACAGGTCAACATGCCTGGCTAGTCGAGTAACTGGAAGTTCCTGAGTTGTTTTGCAAGCTGAGAAACA